GTCGTGGCTTCTGAGCTGGGCCTGAATGAACACAGGAAAAGGTGGCAAAGAGGCAGAGAGACCCCAGGGAGCCAAACACCAGGGAGGGCAGCACTGGTGTCCTCAGCTAGCACTGGCCAGGAAGCGCTGGTCAATGTCACATGATGTGGAGTGGCTGGGACACGGGAGGGAGGGTCAGAATCGGAGCAGCCGTCCTGGTGTTGGGACCCTGTGTACCCTGGGGACTTCTGTTCTGACGGGGGCACCTGAGGCCGCCACATGGGCCAAAGCTCGATAGACACCCCCGTGGCCCAGCAAGGACCCTCGAGGTCTGCACAATGCTTTGACTCAGTGGTCTGTTTTCCCCACACCCGGTGGCTTCACTAATGTCCCCCTCGCCCCACAGCGGAGGAGAAGAAGAAGCTTGCGGAGGAAAAAGCCATGGAGATAGAGGAGCAGAACAAGATCATCGCGGTGGAGAAAGCTGAGGCTGAGACGGCGCTTGCCGAGGTCATGCCCATCCTGGAGGCCGCCAAGCTGGAGCTGCAGAAGCTGGACAAGTCAGATGTGACCGAGATAAGGTAGCAGATGGCAGTGTGCAGCTGGGCTGGTCCACCAGCGTCACTCCCGACAGCAGTTATGACAATCATGGCCGTTAGGCATTAATGGAGCCCTGCCCTGTGCTGGCCCTGCGCTAGGCCCTTCCCTTGGTGGGAGCTGTGTGGGAGAGGCGGGGCCCTGTGAGTCAGTCCTCCTGAAGGGACACCGCCCCCCACCCGAGGCAGAGGTCAGTGCCCTGATGGAAACAGCCCAGCGGAGTGGAGAGAGCTCATGAGAGATACTCTCATCCATTTCTAGCCAAATGGGCTTGCGAGCAGTGGGGGGACAGGGTCTTTATTGTGGCCCCCAGACACTTTGCAAATCAGTCTGTAAAATGACTCTGTCTCTCGCAGCCACAGGGCCTGTGTGCCGTCAGGAAGAGGGGCCGGTGTGGGTGGGCAGGCGCGCTCTCCCGTGTGGCACGATCTCCCTGGGGCACTGTTAGCAGATCTCGCCGGTAAGGTTAGCACCAACGGGGAGGCTGGGAAGGAGGCCATCCTGTCCGCCAGCCCCTGATCTTCTGCCGCCTGGCCCCACACACATCTCCCCTGGTTTAGGGACCTCAGCACCCCCTGTCCTCACTCCCCGTCACAGCCTCATTTTCTGAAGGGGTTCCTGGCCCCACAGTCAGGTCTCATGGGAGAGGGGCTCCCCTTCCCAGGCCAGGAGCTGACTCGGCATTGTGGTCCTGGCGGAATGCTGCCGGCTCTCTGGGCTTGTCTTTTCCTCAGGGCTGAAAGCGCTCCTTGTTGAAGGCCCTGCCCTTGCTGTTTGCTTATTANGTCCCCAGATAAACAAGGACACTCTTCTTGGGCAGGATGTTCCAGGGGCTTTGAGGTCAGCTCCGAGGCTTTGGAGACAAAGGGCCAGACCTTTCTTAGGCAGAGATGACTCTTTTACAGCACAGGTGTGTCCCGTGAGCCTCAGCTCTGGGAACTACTGGGGCCCTGGCCTCAGGGTAGGCACAGCTTCCAGCATACTGGTCCCTACATACTGGGTGGGGGCAGGGGGTGGTCGGTAGAAGGTAGTGGATAAACAGAAATGTTAAAAGCGGTGACCGTCAGCAAAGGTGGGTGTGAACTTGCCCATTGCCATATGTAATGCATACGTTGTCACAGTGCTGAAATGGGTGATGGCGCCTGTGTCTTGACGTGACTCCGACAGCATATGTTTTGCATTTGGCTTATAACAGGCGCTGTCCATGTATCTGGGTGGGGCCCCTGCTGGCCCAGCAGGTACTGGAAAAACTGAGACCACCAAGGACCTGGCCAAAGCCCTGGGCTTGCTCTGCGTTGTAACCAACTGCGGCGAAGGCATGGATTACAAAGTAAGGCCTTGGCGTCACTTGTGGCGCTGTCACTGGGCAGGGAGCTGCAAGTGGGACACAGCAGGAAGGCACTTCATCTCATAGGCGTCCATGCAATGACATGGGGACAACTGGAATACATAGAAGAAAACCAGTCAGCGTCACGGTCTCAGAGCTGACACGTGTCTGCTTGGTTAGCAGCACATAGAGCAAGAGTCCCAAACTGAAATACCCACCAGTCAGGAGACAGTGAGTGAAGGGCTGACAAAGACAGTGGTGAGGCTGAGGCCGGCGGGAGAGCCTCGCTCATCGGAAGGGGGACCCATTGTTCCGTTTAGGCCCATTGTTGCTACATAGGAAAATGTGCCCAACGTTGTTAGGTTTTCCAAATCCCAAGGAAAGTCAGCAATCTTGTTTTCACATTGAAATCCTTAATTTGTAAAACCCTGTGGATGGGAGCTGGCCCATGAGGGGTCTTGGAAGTCTTGCTAGAAAGAGCCAGCAGTGGGAGGCTGGCTTGCTGCTTCTCAGCCAGTCAGATGATGGTCAGCTTTAAGTTAGGAAATCTCTCCATCCGTGTGTCGCATGCAGTTTGAAAGATGAAAATTGCCCTGTTTTGACATTTCTTCCATTCCAGGCGGTCGGGAAGATTTTCTCTGGCCTGGCACAGTGTGGGGCTTGGGGCTGCTTCGATGAGTTCAATCGCATCGATGCCTCTGTGCTGTCAGTCATCTCGTCCCAGATCCAGACCATCCGAAACGCCCTGATTCATCAGCTGTCCACGTTTCAGGTGAGACTCCTGTCCCCAGGATGGATGCTTCCCAGATTAGCTTTGCAACATCAGCTGGTGGGCTCTGTCCCATGGGTGAAGATTTGCCTGATCTTTGTCTTCACATTGAGATGGCTCCGTTTCCCAAAATTATCAGCATCTTTGATAACTGAGGACTTTAATATTCTAAGGGCGTCAAACTAATTCCAGACATACAACTAGTGGTCATAGATGGGTAGGCCAGTATTCCCAAATAAGTTATGTGTGAAGCCCCCTCTAAAGGAAAAAAATACTCTTAGTGACTTCCCAAGAAAAATATGACTTAAAAGATGAGTGTTACAGTCAATCAGAATGTCTCCAATAGAACTTCTCACAGTGAACAGAAATTCTGCCTTCATNGGGCTGGGGTCTGAGAACGTCAGGTCAGCGTCAGATCAGGGGCTCTGGGCGAAACTCGGTGCTTTGCGAGTGAAGCATCATCACCACGAGGTCTCGCCACGCAGAGTCCAGCCCATGCTGTATTTTTATCTGAAAACCGTGTGAAGAACTTCTGGTTTTACTATTCTCATGTTTAAGACGGCTAATGGCCATTCTATAGATTCTGTTTCTATTAGTTGTTGGGTGTTATTTATTAAGTGATCATTAAGGGTTAAGGAGGCAGTGCAGCTGTGAGACAGGGAGAAACCAGTGGTTTCGGGCATGGTGCCCAGAGTCCTAGGAACCTTTACTCCTTGGTGACCTTTAACCCTGAGTCCATTCCGGATGGGTCACCTCTGTCGCTGGAGACTTGTGGCTTGTTTAGTCCTGAGCTTCTGTCTTAAGTAGCTGGGGCTGTTTGATGCTTATGAACAAGACCCTTTGACCATAGCTGGTCTACTGGATAGGACAGCAGTTTCAAATCAGGCCCCTGTAAAAGTGATATGGGAAACACAGGACAATATTGTTTGGAAACAAACCATGTCCACTATTTCTAAAACCTAGAAGACTTTGGTCATTTCCCAGAAGAGGCCAAATGAAACACCCACTTTCTTTGATCTTGGGTAGAACTTTGTCACCAAGAAGAGCCAGAGCTCATGAGCTCTTGCTGGATGTGTTTAAAAGTTATCGATTAAGCATTCTGAAACAATGCGGTTATTACTTAATAAGTAGCTTTGAGACAAAATGTGTTCTACAAATATTTATGGAGGACCCCATTAGATGCGAGGTTCTGCTGAGCCCTGGAATTCAGCCAAGTCTTTCAAAATGCTGGGTTCACAGGGAGGCAAGTGGCAAAGGAGCTGGCGATCTGTCTCTAAGAGAAGTGTTTCCTCCTGGCTAGCCCCATTAGCAGTGGGTCAAGCTGGCTCTTCTAGAACGTTCCTTCTGATTGTGCCGGGAGGTAGCCGCTCACCGCAGCCCCCCCCTCCTGCGCCAGGTGGCTGAAGGATTTGGACGAGCTAATGCACCGGCGGGTGAAGCTGCTGGGGGACTGCCTGCTGTGCGCAGCCTTCCTGAGCTACGAAGGTGCCTTCACGTGGGAGTTCCGTGACGAGATGGTCAGTCGCGTGTGGCAGCTCGATATCCTGGAGCGGAGCATCCCACTGAGCCAGCCCTTTCGGTTGGAAAGCCTGCTCACCGATGACGTTGAGATCAGTAGGTGTGTGTGGCCTGAGCCAGCAGGACGAGGGGTGCCTTAGGCTGGGGGCCACGTGGGTGTCACCCTGGCGGGGCAGAAATGGCGGAGTGCGCTGCAAATCCAGCTCCCAGACTTTGAGGAGGGTTGAGCAGTCTGGGATTGGTAGATTGTGACAGAAGGCCAAGCCTACCGCCCTTAGCCCCTGGTTCACAACATGGCCAATCCACAAAAATGCACTTTCCTGTCACTGTCCCTTCCAGGTGGGGCTCCCAGGGACTGCCCCCCGATGAGCTGTCCATTCAGAACGGCATCCTCACCACCCGGGCCAGCCGTTTCCCGCTCTGCATCGACCCCCAGCAGCAGGCCCTCAACTGGATAAAGAGGAAAGAGGAGAAAAACAACCTTCGGGTAAGGCCGGCACCTCCCACCTCCTGTCCCTGGCATCCCCAGTTTCTAGCAATGCCCACCTGGCATGCCACCGCCCAGAGCCCCCATCCCAGCCCACCCTGTTGAGTCTCCAGGGCAGGATG